TTGTGTCGTCTGCAAATTTACTGAGGGTACACTCAAATCCCTCGTCCGGGTCATTGATAAATATATTAAAAAAGACGGGTCCCAAAACTGAGCCCTGAGGGACACTGCTTGTGACTGGTCGCCAACTGGATCCCACTCCGTTCACCAGCACCCCCGTGTTGAGTTGACAGTTGGACTTGACGATCTTAGAGGTCTTTTCCAACCTTAATGATTCTATGAGTGTATGTGCCTTTGCCACGGTACCAACATCTGCTCAGCTCTCCCCTACATCGAGTCCCACCTTTCACGAGCACGGCTGCAGTGGTTTGCTGGTCCCCTGCGTCGCACATGTAGTCCCCAGAATCAGCTTCACTCAGGTTGCGAATCGTCAGCTCAGCCACAGATCCAGATTGACGCATCTTATATTTGTCACTTGGTCGCAGCACCATCCCAGCCTTCTTCCACTGTACAGCAGCATTTGGTTTTGAGATTTCACAGCTCAGAGTGATGGTGCCGCCTTCTTCAGCTTGTTGGTTCTGGAGTGGTTGTGTGAAAATTACTGGCAAAGCTAAACCAAGAAAAACCAGAGGAAAGAAAACTATGTTTAATTGCTGACTGTGCCATTAAATCTTATTTTTAATGAAACTGTGGCACCATTCCAAATTTGATTCAAACTTAATTCCAAAATTGCTTTAAAATCCAAGCAAGGAATGAAGAAAGTTCTGGACTTCTGCACTCCTCGAGAGTCACTGGGCACCATACACACTGAGCACCTCTGGGAATGTTTTCCTTCTTACACATCATGGATGTGGACTGTTGAGCATCTAAGTGCACGTGTTTCCAAATGGGCACCAAAGCCAGCACTTGAAAACCTACAACTGATATACAAGTACTTGGGTATTTAGGAGGGAGCGTGTATAAACTTCATTATATAATGTCCCTCATTTTAAAACCGGACCCAAAAGAGAAATGAACTCTGGAAGTCTCTGTGCTGAGGTGTATCACTGGTGGGTGTAGATGGGGTCTTGATGGGTTGACTTACAATAAGTCTCATGTAGAAGTTCAGTTCCTCAGGTGCAGATCGCTAGAAGAACTTTGGTGGCTCCACAGTAAGAGCTGAATTGGTATTTACAAGGGAAGAGATGAGGTTCCAGAAACCAGAGTGGATCCACAGGAACTGGGTGACAGGTGTGTGTAAGAGGAGATAGATCTGAAAGCTCTTGGGGGTGATGTAGAAGTGGATGGTGTACTTTGTGGGACAGCTGGGAAATGGCTGGGGTCAGGGATTTTGTACAGTTGCATTTGCAGTACAGACATTCCATTGTACAGCTAGGTCCTGCAGCCCTAGGGCTCTTAGAAGCCAGCTAAGAAATAAGGAGGAGAGAGAATTAAAGTCTTTCTGAAGATCTACCCCGTCAGATTGCATCAATTTTGATTCAGAAATCCTGAAAAAATAAAAAAAAAAGGCACAGGCTCTGCCACAGTGTCCCTGACTCTCACATACAGAACATCTAGACTAACCTAGAGCTCACAAAAAGGTAAAGTGAAGGCTTTTTGTCACCTTTCACTACCAAGGATGCCACAGTTTACACATTACCAGAATCACAGATCTAATCTCCAGCATCCTTTAGTTGTAAATTGTGGGTGAGTAGCTCCACAGCAGAGCTCATCTGCTTCATCTCACACTTGTTGCTGGCTTGGAGCAAGAATGACCCTTTTTCCAAATCACTGCTGCATCATGTTTGGAGAGCTTGGCATGAAGTGTGGCTGTCGAGCCTTCCCTGGCTTCCTTGTTTTGAAGGATTTTTTTCAGAGTACTGGAGTGACTGGGACCACACTTAGAGACACATATGGACAGCCACCATCAGAGGATCTGTTTCAGTACAAATATTCTGGTGTCACTAAATCCTGGAGTTAGTGTGAAAGCAGACAGGTGTGTGATCTTCCTGGGAGAACTCTCAATGGATGTTTCAAAAGATGGCATTTCACAAGGGCATTCTGGCTTCTCTGTATTTTTTCTGAACTTGTCTCTCAGAAAAAGTCACGTTAATGTATTTGTATAAGAGTATATTTTTAAAAACTGATATATTGGCACATTACACTTGTTTTTAAGACCTTAGGCTACAGCACGCGCCTTGCTTGTCAGTTGAGTGCCCAGCAAAGTTTGAACATTTTGTCTCTTGAACATCTTGTCTCTTAACATCATTTTCCCAGGTGAAACCAAAGGTCAAAGGTTCTTCAAGCACCAAAAAAATGATCTCATTCTAATTACAGTTCCAGCCTTGGTTTTCTGGTGACTAGAAAGACAGACCCTTGGGTCTAGGATCGTGGAAGCAGTTACTGCACTTGGGTCCCTCCACGTTCATTGCTCAGGACACCACAGGACTTAACTTCAGAAAGCAAAATAATTCAGCTTCTTTATGCGAGCAAGGTACATCCGAAGTCAAGAACAGTAGATACAACCTGCTTGCTAGTATGAAGCAAAGGAAGCAGAACAAGTTTCTCATCTTAAAAAGAAAAAAAAACACCTACCTTTAACAGTTAAAGTAGCTGTTGTTTGTTCATTTCCATTGTCACAGGTGTATTTGCCAGAGTCTTCTGGTTTTAAGTGACAGATCTTTAAAGTATGGATCGTTCCCTCCTGCTGGATTTCATACTTGGAACTTGGGGAAATCACCTGAGCTCCTTTCTTCCACTCCACCACAGCATTAGGCTGGGAGAGCTGGCAGCGGAGGATGGCTGCTTCTCCTTCCTGAGCTTCTGCATTCTGTAATTTCTCCTTAAAGACTGGAGGTGGCACTGGAATTACAAACATCGAAAAGGCATTTATGGTCACCTTTGTCTTGTTTCCCGCTGGTGTTAAAGCTACAGTTGAACAGTAAAGCATTAAAAAAATCCTCTAACTTCTGTGTTACATATTGGGGGATAAAACAAGTGAATGGATTTTGGATGAAACCCACTGACAAATATTTGTTGAAGTTAGTGAAGTACTAATTAATATCTTTATGCATGTTTTAATTGCTTCAGGTGGGATGGTGACTTTGACCAGCTCAAATAGCTTCAAAGCGGGAAGGAAGATGATGTTTGACTAACAATTTCTTCAAAACAGTGTTTAGAGAAAGAAAGGCTCCGAAGAAGAAAAGGAAAAATAAGAAAAAGGAAAGCAAAAGCAATGAAAATTACAGATCCGTCAATGTATCCACTGGAGCTGGCCCAGTAATTTCTCTAGAAGCCAGTTAACTTCAGGACCCTGGTGACATATCCATGCTGATGACAGTCTATGAGACCACATCAGTACATCAGGTATGCACTGAAGCACAAGCACCCTCCTGACATGAACCAACGATAGGTGAATGATAGCCTTGAATTTCCTGTTTCTGTAAGCAGAATGTCACCTGTTCTCACCAGTTCTGTATTTTTCCCACATGGAGAGTCCTTACCTTTCACACTGAGCTCTGCCTTCGACGTGTGCGGTCCCACTCGGAAAGTGATGGTGCCAATGTCCTGCTCAGTCACCTTCCTTAATGTCAGGGTGTGAATCTTTCCTTTTTCCACCGAGATCTCGTTCATTTCATTATTTTGCAAAGCAACATCCTGCAGTTTCCATTCAACGTCCCTCGCGTTCTCGTGAGAAACCTGGCACCGAAATGTGACATCGTCCCCTTCAAACACCACCATGTTCTTAAGGCCACTCACGATGGTCACATCAGGCTCTGCAAACAGTCCATCAGGGAAACGGAAAACATGAATCAAATCACAGCAACACTGAATAATATTACTTGGAGGGTATTTTTGGAAGTCACCTGGTCTAACTACTGCTCAGAGAAGAGCCAGCTTAAAACTGGTTGCTCACCACCTTCACCATCCATTCAATCATCCAGTGGTTTGTGTTGGAAGGGATCTTCAAAGACATCTAGTCCAACTGGCCTGCCATGGACAGGGACATCTTATACTAGATTAGGTTGTTCAACGTCCCATTCAACTTGATCTTGAACACTTCTAGGCATACTAGATCAGGTTGTTCAACATCCCATTCAACTTGATCTTGAACACTTCTAGGCTTCCACAACTTCTCTGGGCAACCTGACCCAGTGTTTCACCACCTTCATCATAACAAATTTCTTCCAAAGCTACCGTCTTTCAGTTTACAACTGTTACTCCTTGTCCTATTCCTACAGACTCTGCTATAAAGTACATCCCCATCTTTCTTATAAGCCCCCTTTAAGTATTGAAAGGCTGCAATAAGGTGTCCCTGGAGCTTTTTCTTCTCCAGGCTGACAACTCTCTCATCCTGTCCTCATAGGAGAGGTGTTCCAGTATTCTGACCAGTTTTGTGGCCTCATCCTTAACTGTAAAGCCTAGGACATCTCATCCAACTTTAGTGCAACACTGAACTTTGTGGGATTGTCTAAAAAAAGTACTGAGAATCTGAGTGGATAAGTGCTTAACCCAAAAAGGCTTGCAAAACCTATGGTCTAGCTGAGCTTTAAGTACCTCCAAGCATGGAGATGTCACAGATACTCAAATCACGTTTCTCCTGCTGCTGGGTCACTACTTTCAATGTATTTGGTAACATGGCAAATAACTTTCAGTTAGTTGTTTTATTCCTTGCCCTTTCTCAGAGATACATTTAGTATGATTTTTTTTAATTACATGTTTGATAAAGGAATAAGGTGTGAATGCCAGATGCCAAATTCAGGATTTTTGGAAATTATATAGAAAACTTCACAGAAAAAACATTAAAGCCCCATCCTTTCTACTGTCTTTTTGCAAAGAGCATTGCATATGGCCTGTGCTGTCACTCCAGGAATCTGGTTGGCTCTTTGCTCTCAGTAGCAATTACTGGATTAGTGTAAGCACGGGCCATTTGGACATCAGTGTGCTTGAGTCCTACTTCTAGGACAGCTGGGCACCTGCAGGCCTGTGCAAAGAGCGTACAGACAGCCTGCGAGAGTTAAAAGCTGTATATGACCCAGCCTACTGGAGAATAGCAAAGGAGAAGCAGCTCGGTCTTCATCTGAGCAAACACAGCACACGTTCATCCTACCCAGGTCACTATCTGCACGCAAAAACGGTGCAGTTGGGCGTGATGTAGAGTATCTATGGTGTTGAGTAGCCTGCAGAGATGCTGGCGGTGGTTGTTCCACACTAGTGGTCCAACCTGAAAGCAAGCTCTGTCTGTCATGGCATCAAGGCCAGGTGCAGCTGCCGTGTGACTGGGACAGACCATCTGCTCACTCACACATACGACGTCAAAAAAAATATTTCAAGCCACGAGTCAAAAATTACAGCTGTCTTATTCTCTCCTGTCTACCAAGTGAATATTTGCTTTGGTGTATTCATTTAACCATAAGATTATTTTTATTTTTTTTCCATGACACCCTTCCTATGCTCTGTGCACGCCACCACAATTGTTTATCACAAAAAAGCATCCTAAAGTGAAAAAAGCATCCTAAAAGCATCCTAAAGTGAAAATCCCCTCTCCCCAATAAACAGCTCTTGCCTTTCACGATCAGTTTCGCAGAGCTTGTCTCATCTCCAGCCTTGCAGGAATATTCTCCAGCATCACCAGGCTCCAAGTGGTGAACACGCAGCTCGCGGAGGGTGCCATCCTGCCACATTTCGTACTTGGAGCTCGGGCGGAGGACAGCTCCGTCTTTCCTCCACTCTACTTCTGCTTTGCTAATGGAAATCTCACAGCGCAGCCTGGCCGTTCCTCCCACCTCCACTTCTTCATTCTTCAGCTGCTGCTTCAGCCGGGGTTTGATGGCTGCAGAGTGAATAAAAGCAATTAAGGCACAATTTGTTAGCTTGAATGCCAGGTCTGTACAACTTGGCACCTAGAGTCTGGAATAAATCTGCAATAAGTGGTTATGATAACAACAATGCTTATTTCTCTATGAAAAAACTTATATTCTGTATATCCCCACAAGGAGAGGACCAGAAACTTCCCCAAATGTATTTGTTTCCCATAAAGTCAAGGGCACCACATTACAACTTTTATACACCTGCACTGGACGTTGGAAGCTCTAACATGCATAAGTATTTTGGCTAAGCAAAACCTGCTACTTTCTGATCAAAACTAGGGTAAATCTGTTAATTTTTATAGAAATACTGAACATCATAAATGACATAAAGCATTAAAGACGTTTCTGATTTCTCTGCTATCTTCTCAAGACCCTAGACTATCAACAGTGAGTCCTTCCAGACGACATACAAATGGACTACATTTATTCAAGCGGGACGTGGGACAGCTCAGACAACAGCTTGCCACTGATGAAAACAAGACAGGAATATTATATGTGCATGTGTAAGAAGTTATGAAAACAGGAATCTCGATGGTTGTAGTTCCTCTGTCTAAAATCTGTTGTGATGTACGTAAAGCAAGCCCAGGGCTCTTTCACTCGTGGTTGGCCCAGGGTCAGGTTCAGCTAAGAGGATGTTGTTTGAAAAGTTGCAGCTTAGATCAAAGCCACAAGTTCCACCCAACAGTTTGAGATGACCACAAGTATTTCATAGATGATGATTAATCAGAGACATTATTTTTGTTTGTTTAAACACAGTGTTCCCACAGTCCTCATGGGAAGGCACTACAAAAATTGAAAATAATGTATTTTTTAAATGCTTTTGTAAATGACCTGTGCTTAGTTCTTGATCCGACTAAGCCTGCAATGTTGCAAAACATTTGTAAAAGAATATCATTCACACAATTTCACAGATCCCTTTTATCCTTGGTTCCATTTTGATGCAATGCTAACCATTCACTTTGAGGACTGCTGTGCTCTGCTGGTCTCCTGTATCACACGTGTAATCAGAGGCATCTTCTGGTTCTACGTTATGAATCACAAGTTCAGCCGTGCGACCACTTAATGTGATTTTGTATTTGGCACACGGGAAGAGCTCCATGGTGCCTTTCCTCCACTCCACTGTTGCATTATCCTTTGTCAGTTCACACTGGAATTTCACCGCAGCTCCTTCTTCTGCCTCCTTGTCATTGAGCTCCTTTTTGAAAAGGATTGGCAGAGCTAAAGGGGAAAAAAGAAAGAAGCAACAAGTGCTTTTATTGAAGCCTGAGTCAAGTCCTGGTTAACACAGACTGACACTTCGGAGAACAAGATACTGTGCTTCGCAAGTGCCATATTCCTAGGCAGGATCCACATTTTCTTATTTGCCTGGAGCTACTAGGAGATCTTGTAGCCATCTGTACTTATTCATTCTTTGTTCCTTGACTCAAATCCTTCCCAGAGTTGGATTCTTTGAATGAATCTATCCTTCAGTTGATCTAACAAATTTCTCAAGAGCCAAGAAGTTCAAGTCTCCGTGGACAGCCTCGACAGATCAGGAAGGTTGCTGTAAGTTTTAGTCCAGGACTTGGAATAATGTGTTTATTTAAAATATTAAACCACATGCCAGGTGAAATGTCCAAATGTTCTATTAAAATGTTGCTCATATTTTAATTTCTCCCTAGCCATAAAGCTGGAAAGTATTTCTTCTTAGACCCCAAAACTCAAAAGCAGCACTGGAAAAATGAAGTATCCTCCTCTTCCATTCCCATTGCAAAACAAAAACCAAACCAACTAACCAAAAAATCCTAGTATATCAGAAGAAAAGGAAAATATTCATGCAAGGAAAAAAAAAGTATTTTAAAATATTTATATTCAAACTATTGTTTTGCATGGACGTAATCTATTGATTTAGGAGACAGCTCACACCACCTACCTTTCACATTTAAAATTGCCTTGGTTTCCTGATCCCCAGTATAACAGCTGTATTCTCCTGTATCTTCTAATTTGAGATTATGGATTAAGAGCTCTACTAGACATTCCCTCTGCCTCATTTCATATTTCTGGCTGGGCTGCAGCCCCACGCCTCCTTTCCTCCATTCCACGACAGCATTGGGTTTCGACAGCTCACAGCAGAACGCAGCTGTGCTTCCTTCCTCTGACTCCTTATTTTGTAGAGGTTGCTTAAATATAACAGGCAGTGCTGCAAAATTCGAGAGGAAATGTTTTAAGAGTGTCTTAGTCCAGAGAGGAGCCAATCCTACCACCATTCTTCAGAAATGGCCTAGTCTAATGATTCAGTAATCATTGGGCTGCAACTGCTTCTTGGTAACATTTTTCTTCAACCATTACATGAACCAAGAGCTGAGGACAGATGGCAAAAGTAGGAAAGATCTAGTCTTAGGGATTGGACCACAGAATAGTTTGTGATCTGAAGGAGTCAGACTTTCCTACAGAAGTGTCTCCATGCCAACTACAGATGCTTTCATCAAAGGACAGTGGGATAAGCTCTCTCTTAAATTGACCCTTGTTCCTCAAAAAAAGGTCTGTGTGTTTACAATATTAAGAAAAGAGTATTTTCCCCCGCCAAATAAAGCTTCGAGTCAACATTCAAAACAGAAGAAGAGGAAATATAATAAAAGATGACAATACAGTGATAAATCCAAAGGGAAATTCAGGCAAGGTCTTGCTCTGGATGGTAGGAGGGGCAGAGGAAAGCAGATGAGGATGCAGTTGTTTGCACTCAAAGCTTGTATCTGAGGCTCAAAGCCTCAAGTAAAAGCAAAGTACATGTTCTCTGTTGTTGCATCTCTTATCCTCCCAGTCAGGTATTATGCCCAGTTAGGCATCCCTCATGCCTACAGAAGCAATCAACAACCCAAAATAGCCATCAGCCTGCCTGCTTTATCCTCTGTTATCCATTCGCATGTGCAGCCACACTCCCTGCACTCAGAGAGCAGGAGGGTTAATCATAGCTTGACATCATGGCAACAATGAATTGCTTTCATGATGATCAGTCATGCCAGATACTGCAAGTAGAACCTTTCTAACCTGACCACGCTCAAGTAGAATATGTACCCTGGCATGGACCAGTGACAAAACAAACGACTGTTGGAACATCTGGGAGATGCTCTTTTCACTTCACATCTACTGAGCTAAGAGTCAACACTCTGCCTACCATGTACGGCCACCACAGCCGTCGTCTGCTGATGTCCAGTGTCGCAGGTGTACCTTCCTGAATCGTCCAGTTCTAGGTCATAAATGACCAATTCAGCAGTGGAGCCCTGCTGCTTCATCTCATATTTCAAACCAGGGAAGAGAGTAACATCTCCTTTCCTCCACTCTACCGGAGCCTTGGGTTTGGTAAGCTCACACCTCAGTGTGGCCATACCACCTTCTTCTGCCTCAGTATTCTGAAGCTCTTGCTTAAAAAGTGCTGGTAGGGCTATAAAATAGAAACATAACTTGCAACATACTGCCCTTGGGAAAGAGAAAGTAGAAAGAAAATGCAAGCACCAAAAGAGCCTTTTTGCAGATGTTTCTAAACCTTAATGCTTTAGATAGGAAGTATAAGGCTACTTTTGTGGAGGTGCAATAGGAATATCTGCAGAATAAGAAGAAATTGATTTCAACAAGTTACATTTTCCATGAAGTATATGTGATATTAATCTAATCTATGATCTATAAGAGGCAGAATACTTTTCCTACTATAAAAGTAGCCAACATGTTGCCCTGATCACTGAAGAGCGATATTCTGAAAATCAGCAGGGACTTGTAAGAGTTCAGATTGCCTCTTAAGAAAGACTACTTGCAGGAGAGATTACAATTATCCTGACAAAATACATTTAGTTCTAGACTGCAATTCCCATTTTCTATCTTCCCATTCAATTAGGCTGTATAGACCATGCTAATCTGCACGCCTTATGAATTCTAGTCTTCTCCAAAAGTGGCACTAAACCACATCTTTATATTCAGAAAATATTAAAACCTTTTTTATTTTTTTTTACCATTGACTCTCAGAGTGGCAGTTGTCTGCTGATCTCCACACACACAAGCGTAAGCTCCAGCATCTTCCACATCCAGCTTGTGGATAATCAGCTTTGCAACAGCACCGTCTTGACTCATTTTATATTTGCTGCTTGCTTTGAGCATCTCCTGCCCTTTTTTCCACTCCACCGCAGCAGGTTTTGTGAGCTCACAGTGCAGAGCAGCTGTCCCACCTTCTAGAGCTTCTAGATCCTTCAGGTCCTTTTTGAATTCTGGAGGCAGTGCTGAAGAGTAAAAGAGTTACCTTAGAGACAGTGAGTATTCCTTAAAAAGCAGTTGCATGAGGTCCTAGGGGAGGGGGTGGATGGTACAATGCCGAGCCCTGATCCAGGTCAGTGGAACACAACAGAAGAGTCTCCCCTGACTTCCCTGGATGCTGCATCAGGGCAAGGAAAAGGAGAAGAACCAGCACAGGTGAGGAGGATAAACACCAACAAGCAACTCTTTTCTCAATTTTAACAGAAGGAGAATGCATGTAAGCAAAGTCCAAAGAAAAATGAAAGCCCGAGCAATCAGAAAGGGAATGGGGACAGACCCCACAGCAATTGAGAGTCGGGCCGGTCTAATATTTAGAGGACCTTAGTCCCAAGGATTACTTTACCATGCACTGTTAGTGTGGCTGTGGTGGCCTTGTCTCCACACACACAGGTGTAATCTCCAGTATCGTTCACATCTAAATCGTGAACCACCAGCTCCACGACACGGCCTTCCTGTCTCATGCTGTACTTGTTGTCCGAGGTGAGGACGCGGTGGCCCTTCTTCCACTGGACCTGGGCAGATGCCTTGCTGAGCTCACAGAGCAAAGTGGCCGTTCCACCTTCTACCGCTTCCTCGCTGGTCATTTCTTCTTGGAAAAATGAAGGCACAGCTGAAGGATGCAGGTAAAAAGTATTAAAAAGTGAGGATATCCCCAAGGATGGGTGGAAGTAGGAAGTGACAGGGGAAAGTTGTTAAGGTTGTGAAAGGATGAGCATCAGCAACAAAGAAAGGAAAGGGTAATGAAAATATCCTAGTGGGAATGTCTACCCTAATCCTTTTGGGTTTATGCTGACTTCCTAATAGAAAAATTGCACTGTCCTCAAGAGATTTACACCTGATTTTTATCCCTTTCCATGCAAGAAAAACTGAGAATATCATCTCTGGGCTCCTTAGTTCACACATGTGTTGGTGTCTTCCACAAACTTCATGCTTCTCCTACTTACAGAGCAGTCCTGCTCTGTGTTGGCACAGCTCTTTACTCATCATCTTCCTTGAGACACCCTCAATATGGAGCCAGGGCTCGCGGATTCTTCTTGACCCCAAAGAAAATCTCCAGGTGCTGAATCCCAGCTTGTTTTCTTGTCTTAGAACATACTTTCTCCACTTACCATAATTCTAGTACCTACTGCAATTGCATCCTTGAAATAAATTTGGTGATTGTCACGTGCCCCTCTATAAACTAGGTGGGAGAATGGGATATTCCACCTGTTAAGCAAGGCTGGATGTGTCAGATCTCAAACTTAGTGTCTCACTCCATCGTAGTGCAGCTAAGTTAAAAAATCCAGGCTAGAAACCAGGTTTAGCCTCCTTGATTTGGTATGTTTCTCATCTCCAGCCATGTCAAACCAAAATTTTGTTTACTCAGCAACTGGTTCATACAACAAAATAAGACCAGAAGGAGGTCACTGAAAGAATTTATTCTTTCCTGCTTAGAAAACCATTTTCCCAACACAAATTTATCTTTGTGTATTAGGACAGAGGTTATGGGCACAAAACTCACTAAAAATGTAACTCAAGACAGAAGAAATTATAGCTAACACAGCCTTATTCTGCATACTGGTTTTTATACCCTAGACTACATTAAAATGTTAGGTATTGAGAATGCCAGAAAGGAATGGAAAAGAATAAGCACATTTGTGTTTTAGAGAATAAATGCGGGAAAGGAACGGCAAAAGAGTATATGCTAGAGAAGGAATGTCAGAAGGGAAAGATGAAAGGATAGCAAGTTTCTGCTTAAGGAAAGAAGAAGACAAGAGGATGGCACAGAAAAATGCAGGCTGGTGTTTTCCAACATATACAACCTGCAGGTCATGAGCACAGAATAGTTTCAGATGAATGGAACTTCAGTTAATAAGGTTGAACAGACAGGGAAATGGAACACCTGGTAGCAGAAGACAGACATTTCCAGTTAGAAAATAAAAGACCAAGATAATTTTTACCCTGTACTGTTAGGACAGCTGTAGTCCGGTGCTCTCCACACACACAGGTGTAGTCTCCTGCATCCTTCTCAGCTATTTCATGAATCACCAGCTCTACCTTAGTCCCTTCCTGCCTCATTTTGTATTTCTCACTTGCTTTGAGAATCCTCTGGCCCTTCCGCCACTCCACCAGAGCAGCCTTGGTGAGCTCACAGTGCAGGGAGACTTCTCCACCTTCTTCTGCTTCCTTGTTCTTTAGCTCTTCCTTAAAGAGCGGTGGCAGAGCTAAGGGATGCAACATGGACAAACATTCATCAGAAAACCAGAGTTAAAATCCTCATTTCTTTTTCAGGCCTGGAATTATTTCCCCTAATGCCTCCCCTTTTCAGCCTATTATAAAGCCACTTAGCTATAAAGCTCAGAAGCTCTGAAATAATCCTTCTTCTAATGTGATGTGGTTTCATTTACCATAAGTGGTCAGTTCCTTGGGTCTCTGTGTCTTTTCATGGTGAAAGAACAATACAGAAAGATCCAGATCTTGGGTCAACAGCACTCACAAATAACATTGCTGGATGCAGTACTATTTTAACTACACACGTAGGATTTCTTGGAGGCCGGTATTGTTATACTCTGCTCCATTTTTACTTGTGCCTCCATCTACATGACAGCAGACAGATTTCAAACCAAAGCTACTTCTTCAAAACTACTTTAAACTGAAGTTTGAAGGGTCATTACATATACTGCGAATTTCAGGTTCTCACTATTTCTCATTTTGAAAATCAAAGCCTAAAGACAGAACAACCTGCAGGATATAACTTCCAGGGAAATTAATTAGCATTTACCCAAAAAACGTGCCTTGTGAGCAACTACAGAACACAAACAATACTCTCCAAATGTGTCAGAAAACGTCCATGTCTCAGCAAAGCCCAGGAGAGGGTCAGAACTTTTTGGGAAATAACTGGAGAGGACAGAACCGAGTCTCAGACCAAGTAAGTTCCTCAGAGCCCAGGACTGTTGCTACATTAAGCAGATACTCATTAGTGAGAGGAGAGCAGAACATGAAATAATGAGATTATTAACGTAACACAGGGATTCATTTCTGGATTTTTTTATTAGAAGCTAGTAGGATAAAGAAGAATATATTTGCGGATAGTCTGTGTTGCTGGGGGTTTTTAATTAATTTTTTTAATACTTGTCAAGGTAGTCTTGATCCCCACAGAGCGGTGTAGACCCCTGCATCCTTCAAACCTAAATTTAGGGTAACGAGCTCTGAAATGGTAACTCTTATCTCATTCTGCATGTCTGACTTGCCTAAAAAATCTGGTACCCCCAGGAGCAGTCGTGGCCAGGTCACAGAGAACAGGGACATGTCCTCTTCCTTTTGCCCCAACACTCACTTCTTTGAGCAGTGTTTGGAAAACAGAGGGCCTGACAGACCACACAGGTGTGTTTTGGGGAAAGCTATGGTTGGCTGAAGTAAACCATGGGGGTTTCCCCCATGAGGTGGGGGAAAAGACCTGGAAAATGTAATTGTCCAAGAAGAGGGGCCTTAGACAGAAAGAAACATCTCCTTTTCTCCTTTTAAAGGGAGGAAGATTAATACTGACCCAAAAAATAGCCCTGAGCTATCCTTTCTCAGTAAGAAATGATCTATACATAGAATGAAAGAACAGAAAGGGATAAAATCAGAGACAAGTATTGACCCAGGGCAGAAACAGCTGAATTTCAGCATGATGTCTATCTGTAGAACTATTTATCAATTTGAAGAAGGTCTTTTTACCACAAACTGTTAAGGTTGCGGTTGTCTCCTGGTCACCACACACACAGGTGTAATCTCCAGCATCTTCTACTTCTAGATCATGAATGACCAGCTCTGCAGTGGTTCCAGGCTGTCTCATTTGATATTTTTCACTTGCTTTGAGCACTTTGGACCCTATTTTCCACTGCACTGGGGCTGCTTTGCTTAATTCACAACGCAGAGAGACTGATGCTCCTTCTAGGCCTTCTTCATTCTGCAGTTCTTCCTTGAAAACCACTGGCAGGGCTGGGAATGGAAAAGTCGAAAGAATTTAATCAAAGATCTCTGCGTTTGCAACCAACACCATGAACTCTCAGCTGAAGTTCAAATCTGGCCAAGTCAAAGCCTTCAGCCGCTGAGGTTGAGGCTATCACTGGGATGATCTGGGAAACTAAATCCAGTAGTGACAGTAAGAAAAGAAATGCTCAGCTGACAGGTCAAACTACAACAAGCTGGAGGGATTCAAGATGCAGCCTAAAGAATTTACCACGAGGCCACCCTCCATGGGAGCAGGACGGGAGCACGTCCCTGGCGCTATTTCCTTAAACTTACAACTCAGCAGCTTGTCTGCATGGAGAAGTAGTCACGTCCTCAGCTCCTTTTTCAGGAACGTCAGACTGAAATTAAATGCCAGAACAAGAAGTTGTCCTTTCCTGAACACAAATTAATTCTTAGGAAAAAATTGTACAGCAACAGGATGTTTCAGAGAAATGAAAAGCCAACAGTCATCCACAAGATGAATTTACCATTTACTGTCAGAGAAGCCGTGGTGTGTTGGTCTCCACACAGACAGGTGTAATCTCCAGCATCCTGCAACTCGAGATCACGAATTTTCAGCTCGGCAAAGGCATTGTCCTGTCGCATGACGTATTTTTCACTTGCCCTGAGTATTTTATTTCCTTTCTTCCACGACACAGCTGCAGCCTTGGTCAGCTCACAGCACAGAGTGGCCGCTTGGCTTTCCATGGCTTGCAGGTCCTTGAGTTCTTCTTTGAAAAGTGCTGGCAGGGCTGAAGGTCACAAAATGGACAGAGGACATGAAAAATGACACGTGGCACACAGGTGATGGAAAGGATGGGGTGGTACAGAAGCAGAGAACACTTTAGGGTGGAAAGAGTTTCCTTTCCTCATAATTCTGGGACACTGGACAAACCAATAGACAAACAGAAACGCAGCCTGGGTGCAACCAGATCTTAGAGACAGTTTACAAATTTAAAGAAACAAATTCAGCCACAGGTGAACACACAATCAATAGTGATGCGCCAGTAGAGAAAACACAATAATATGGATACAAGTATTTGGTTTTTACCGTGCACTATCAAGGCAGCGGTTGTCTCCTGTTCTCCACACACACAAGTGTATTCTCCAGCATCTTTCAATTCTACATCATGGATAAGCAACTTCACGACCGTGCCCTCCTGTCTCATTTTGTATTTGTCGCTGACTTTGAGCAAGCTGCTTCCCTTTCTCCACTCTACTCGAGCAACCTTGCTCAGCTCACAGCGCAGAGTGGCTGCTTGACCTTCTGTTACCTCCTCGTCCTTCAGGCTCTCCTTGATGCGTGCAGGCAGCGCTGAGGATGCAATGGGCAGAGGGTTAGAAGGGAGCAGGGGAAGGGGAAGGGGCAGGGCTGGGGGAAGGAAAGGCATCAGTGAGGAGGTGTCTTCAGGCTTGGTCTCACACCTGCTCTACGGGTCAGATCCTGAAAACCCTTTGCATCAGGAAATGGGATTGAAGGTTTTTTCCCTTAAATCAGAAAAAGCAACTTAATTGTCATGACTATGACATGCCAAGTCAGGCTCAGAACAACTATGTATAAACATGGAGAAAAAAATGAATTCAAACCGTAAGCTCAACAACGTGGACATCTAGGTGAAACTGGTCATTACCGTGTACTGCTAAGGAAGCTGTGGACTGCTTATCCCCACACACACAGGTGTAATCACCAGCATCATTCTCATTTAGGTTATGGATCACCAGTTCTGCAGCGACACCCTTCTGCCTCATTTTATATTTCTCGCTAGGTTTGAGTATTGTGTGCCCCTTTTTCCACTCCACTGAAGCGGTCTTGGTCAGCTCACAGCGCAGAGTCACTGCTTCACCCTCCATGGCTTCTTCATTTCTTAACTCTTCTTTGAAGAGAGCAGGAAGAGCTGAGAAACAAAGGAGCAAACATTTTCACGATATACAGTTCTTGGCCACGAAATACATGAATGTTGAAGTTTACCACTATCTGTCCATGCCTAGTTATTGACACAAGGGTCATGTCACAGAAGGAAGAGAGAAATTTGTATCACACAAGGGTCTCAGACAGTGGGTAGATTTGCTGATAGGTTTAGAGATGTATGGAGAATAAACAGCAGGAAAAGGAAAACTTCATGTGTAGTCAAAGCCGTAATTTTCTCAGTGTAATTCAGCCGAGGAAACGTGTTAGAGCAGGTGACACCACGATCAGGGAAAAAAGCTAAAGACAAAAAGAAAAGGCTCTCCCCTACATGTGAAGGATGCTTACAGATGAAGCCTGAGAGTTGGAATGAGGCTGAAGAGCAGAATCAGAGCAATCTCTTTAAAGTGCTTGGGCAACAATAAAATGGAAAAGGAAGGACCATGTCTCCGTTGTGGAAATTTGCTCTAAGATCTTCACATCAGAAAGTTCAGATTTATCCTAACACCTTGTCTCTCTTGGAACTACCAGTAGAATCACCTAAAACATCAGAAGTGTAGCGTGGTCATGCATATTATTGGAGCAACACAATGGGATGATGTCTGTTAAGTCTTTGAAATGGAGTGGGGATCACTTTTGGATATAGAATATATACAAAAGAACAGCAGGAACAAGTTCTGATTCTGACCAGTGAGACATAAATATTAGAGGATACAGATATGGAGGATAACTGGGCTGACACTAACTATAAAGCAGGAGAAGCTCAGGGAATTTAGGACAAATAAGAATGGAGAAGAGCAAAAGGAAATTCTCTGTGCCAACAGGAAAGTAAGATGCAATAATTCATGAATCGTTACTTGTGATACAGCAGAAGCAAATATTAAGGACAAGGTATTCTAAAGGAGTGGAAAACTTCTCAAAGAAACAATACTAAGGGCATAATTACACAGACTACCTCACTCCCAGGATCATAAGGAATAGCCTGCCCATATCACACGTTCTGAAACCTAAGAGACCTATAAGATACAGGAATTTTAGATGAATGCAAAAGAAATACTGCAGAATATAGAGACAAAACCAGAAAGGCCAGGTTCCCTGCGTGTCTCAAAGACAAGGATTGTTCCCCGTTCCCGGACTCTGTCACTTCATGGACAAAAAGACCAACGTGAAAGAGGGGCTGAACTTGCAAAAATGATGGTGATATCAAAGGTCTCCAGACACAGCTGAATGCCATATGTAGTTTTATCCAGCACATGGGTGGCGAGATCACTATTCCATGTGCTCTGCTCATAGTTTGATTTGTGGCTTAAGGCTGTATCAGAATTTTAGCCTGCCAATCCCAGGAAATCTGGCCAGTCTGAACTACAAAAAGTGGAAATAACACAATGACATTCTGTAAGGTAATTAGAAGGAATAAAAACATCAAGGGAAAGTCGTCTACCTCTCTTTCAGGAATTCAAGTGGATGGTGAGTGATGTGGGAAAAGCTGAAGGATTTAATTATTTTTCTTCTTTAATATTAAATGTTAACGATAGCTAAGAAAATAATAGGAATTCTGACTAGGATAAGAAAAAGAATTATTAGAGAATATTTAAACTGAATATTCTCAAAGCTTCACTGATGAGGAGACACAGTATATGCTGTACACTTTGATTTTAGCAAAAAGCTCTTACTTTAAACTCAAGCATAGATGGAACCACAGTGGGAAGGACTACAATTCTGAAAACTACAAAGAATATACAACTGTGATTTACATCCCCTATGAAAGAATGGGTTGAGCAGAGTTCCTCAGTACTCTGGAGTCCAGTATTATTCAGCATTTTCTTCAGTGACTTGAACAATGAAATGCAGAATTGTCATTAATTTTACACATAAACTCAAGGTGGGAAGGAAAGGAAGCGAAAAGCACTTTGTTAAACATGGTTAGGATATAAAACACGTTGGTGAAGCAATGTTGAAAAAACAGACTATAATTCACCGAGAGCAGATGTACAGTACTGTATCTAGGAACAAAAAACACCACAAATACAAGATGGGGAACAATAGACAGAACTCAAGGTGGGAAGGAAAGGAAGCAAAAAGCACTTTGTTAAACACGGTTAGGATATAAAACACTTTGGTGAAGCAATGTTGAAAAAATAGGCTATAATTCACCGAGGGCAGATGTACAATACTGTATTTAGGAACAAAAACCACCACAAATACAAGATGGGGAACAATAGACAGCAGATCTGCAGAGAGAGATTTGGGGTTACAAGAGATCAGAGAGAAAATGTGAGTCAAAAGATGCAGTTCTGATGTGAAGAAAAGAAACACCCTAAAAGGGATATACACAATGGAATGTTATATGGAAGGCACAAAATCCTTCCATCCTACTCCGTGAGTCAAAAGATGCAGTTCTGGTGTGAACAAAAGAAACATCCTAAAAGGGTTGGAATGTTGTATGGAAGGCACAAAATCCTTCCATCCTACTCCAGTCTGGCAAAGCCTCAGATGGAGCACTGTAGTCTGCTTTTGGCCACTACACTTCTAGAATGACGTGGATTAACTGAAGATGGTCCAGAAAGCAACAAAGATGAGCTGAAGCCTAGAAAATATGACCTGTGAAGAAAAACTGAAAGGACTGAACACGCTTAGTCTGGAAAAGAGAAGACAGAAAGAGAATATAAGTTTTCAAAACTCTCAGAGGAAGTAAAATAGCAAATATTTCTCCATTTCTACAGGACATAGGTTAGAAAGGAGACATAAGTTTTCAAAACTCTCAGAGAAAGTAAAATAACAAATATTTCTCCATTTCTACAGGACATAGGTCAAGAAATAATGACTTAAGTCACATGGAGAAAGACTTTTTTTGAAGTTACGAAGAACTTTCTGGCAGTACTTATGGTTAGGCAGTGGAAAGAGTATCTAGGGGAACTGCAAGTTCTTCAGCACTGGAGTGAGGCTAGGTAGGGATGCTGGTGACCCGAGGCTCAGGGATGGACTAGATGACCTGTAGAGGTCCTTTCCAATTATATTTTCCGTAGTTAAATTGGAAGAATAATTCCTACTATCTTGTGTGAAAAGTGGAAATAACGTTTCTCTCTCTTCCAAGAAAAGTCTGCAGATGAATTTGGCTGAAGAATATGAAGCACTCTCACACCAAGACTCTGGAATAAATTGCCCAGAGAAGTTGTGGATGCCCCCTCCCTGGAGATGTTCAAGGCCGGGTTAGATGAGGCCTTAAGTAACCTGGTCTAGTTGAGAGGCATCCCTGCCCGTGCCAGGGAGGTTGGATTAGATGATCTCTAAGGTCTCTTCCAATCTAGGTCATTCTATGATAGTGCTGAGTGTTCTGCAATACCAAAACACAATTCTACACGACTCTGGATGAGAGTTACATAGAAAAGTTGCATTGAATCAAGTTTCATTTGCATCATTTAAAACTATCTGTCAAATCCTAACAGAACTTGAAATCTAAGATAGGTCTTAGGATGAATGTTCCTGCTACTCCGGCTCTCTAGGCTCAAGTCAAAAGTAAGTAAAAGAGAACAAAAAATGCAAGTGTGTGACACTCTTCAGCGTTTAGCGTGGTGCAAAGCAGTGCAGTCGTGCACCAACAAGAACAAGGAGAAGAAAACAGGGAAAATTTTAGTATAATCAATGGGACTACAATTCTAGTTAGAATTAGATAAAAACTGCTATAGAAAAAAAATATCCATTACTGACAGAATTAATGATAGCAGGATTAGAGGAAGAACTCATGGTGTATCAGTACTGAGGCTTCCAGGGGAGGCAGGAGACACATCAGGCAAAAATGTCTCATTCCTGTTCTCTTACCATGCACTGTCAGTGCTGCAGTAGTTTTCTCATCTCCACACACACAGGTATACTCCCCAGCATCCTTGACTTCTAAAGCATGGATCACCAGTTGTGCAGTAGTACCTTCCTGTCTCATAGTATATTTTTCACTTGATTTGAGCACTTTGTGTTTCTTTTTCCATTCCACAGAGGCAGCCCGAGACAGCTCGCAGCGTAGCGTGGCTGTTCCACCTTCTGTGGCTTCTTCGTTCTTCATCTCTTCCTTGAAGTGTGCAGGCAAGGCTGCGGATTTCAAAACGAGCAGAATGCGTGACCACAGCAGATACCCAAGTAGCTCTTTATCTGGGGTCTGTCAACCACATGTGACAAGCAAAACCTTCCCTGATCAAAAAAAGGAATTATAACAGCTCTGGGAAATACGTGCCGGTGACTTTGGAAAGCTGGAGAACCCCTCGCTCATAAGTCAGAGCTTTTTTTACCACGTGGTCTGTGGCATGGAATGAAGAACGACACCAGTCTCAACTTCAGACTCTGCAGGGTTGAGCCCTACCTTACTTTGGGTATTGCCTGGCACTATGGAAAACCAAAGCCAACTGGAGAGTGTAAGTTCTGTTGCAATGTAAATCATTGCTGCAAACGTTTGTAAATGAAACTCTATCTGAGGCATCAATCACGCTTTCCCCACGAGATTTCTCCTCAGATAATGGTCTAGCAGAACTACTTGACTGTCAAATTATCCTGAAACACTTAAAACTGTGTCAAAAATACCTCATGATCAAATTGCAATATTCTTAACTTCAGGATTGCAACACCTTTACAACCAACATTACAATAACACGATTTTCCTTTCTTTAGCAACGACTACTGAACAAGACCATCAAAGTTGGAACCAAGATGAATATCTGGGATTTTTGCAATGGACACCTGATCAGTGCCTGATGCTGATCAGAGCATTCAGGAATTTACCCCCATATCCAACCTGCAGTTTCAAAGCTAATGCTACCACTGTCTTTAAAAAAAAAAAAAAAAATTGAAAATAATCCACTTAATTCGATTTTCTTTTTTTTTTACCATTCACTTTCAGTGCAGCAGTGGTTTTCTGATCTCCATAACAGCAGGTGTATTCTCCAGCATCTGTCAGATCTAAATCACGGATCACCAGCTCGGCTCTTGTGCCCTCCCTTCTGATGGTGAACTTGTCACTTGGCTCCAGGGCTCTGTCACCTCTCCTCCATTCCACCGCAGCTGCGGGCTTGTTCAGTTCACAGCAGAAAGCGGCCGTGCCATTTTCCGTGGCTTCCACGTTCTTCAACTCTTTTTTAAAATGCGGAGGCAGGGCTGAAGATCACAGGTGAAGAGAGAGCACTTTAAAACTGAATGCTGAACCTTGACTGCTCTGCTGGATTAAAACCCTTTAATTGCTAAAAAGTTTAGTACACAGCCTGAGAGGCAAATGACGATTTCAGGGGCATCCCTGCCTTACACTTTGCAACCCAACTGATCTGGAAATCAGTGTTGTAAAACTACAGTTTCAGTACTGGAAGGTATGTTTTAAAGGCATTTTAAGATATAACAACAGAAAACTGATCCCAAGATTTCAAGGAACTATGCACAGCTCTGGCTTAAGATCAGATGAACAATTAAAATAAGCGCTATGTTATTCAAAATTGCAGGCTGCAATGCGTCATTCTCACCTGCTTTTCTCAATTGTTACCTTTCAATGTCACTCAAGAAAAACAAGTGGGATCTCAGTGATATGCTTAGGGAAACTGATTATTGGAAATACTGAATGTGCTATTTATGACTTCACTGAGGTCTTCATTATCTGCTTCCACATTCCACTAACAGGAAAGAATGGGGACAGAAAAGTCTGTACAGTGCTAGTTCTCAGTCCCAAGAAAAAGACTTGCAGTAAAAGATACTCCCAGTGGTAGACACAGCTGTCGTAACTTCAAATAATAGATGGGATCAAGACCAGCTTGTGATCATGTGTGAGATCCCAGATGGCAAAGCAGAAAATCTCTATTAAACCCATGTATTTTACCATGCACTGTCAGGGGTGCGGTGGTCATCTTGTCTCCACACAAGCATGAGTAATCTCCAGCGTCG